TTTGTATGGGGTGTTTTTAGAACAGGCCCGTTATTTAATTTGATTTTAGAACAGAAACTATTTATTTATTATTGTGGTTTTTAGTATCGCCTGTTCACCGCCCTGAGTCCCGTAAGGGAGATAGGGCGGTATATAAATTTAATAAACAAATAAATAAATAAACCAATGAGTTTGCTTCTCCCAGTAAGATCTAATGGTTCATACCTCTCCTATGGGAAGTAGAATAGGCTTAGGTTTGTGGCATTCTACCGATTCATTGGATGGTTGAACAAGGAAAGCATCACGGACAGCATCCCAGAATGGGTGGCCTTCAGTGGTGCCTGTTAAAAAAAATTGTGGAATAGTGGAAAGTTTTCTACAATTTTAAAATACATTATTGAATTAATATATAATATTTAAGAACATCTAACTGCCATTTTTTAAAGAAGAATCAGTTTGGTGAAGTAGTGAAAAACAGGAAGCTGGGAGACTGTGACTGTGCCATAAGATGAATTTCGACCAGTCCCTCTCTCTCATCCCTAGGAAAAAGATAATGGGAAACCACTTCTGAAAATGTTGGCAAAAAACCCCACAGGAAGGTTGTCTTTGTAGTTGCCATGAATCAAGGCTAACATAAAAGCACACATTTTGCATACTTTTATTTTGTTTTGGGGGGGAAAAAAGACAGTATAATTTATACGAGGGCAATTTGAAAATAAACCTCTGGTTATCAATGACAGACACTCGCAGATACAGAACTTTTATTATACACATTATAAAACTACAACATTACATTACTTTTTGACATAATCACCATTCAAATTGAGGCACTTGTCATAATGTCTTACAAGGTTTGAAATTCCTTAGTAGTAGTCGCTCGGCGCCAAATCTGGGCTATAGGGGGAATGATCAAAAACATCCCAATGGAACTGCTACAAAAGTTCTTGGGTGTGTCTAGCGGTGTGTGGGCAAGCATTACTGTGAACCAACACCACACCGGAAGTGGTGCCATAGAAAATCCCACCAAATGTGAAGATGCCAAAGGAGTACTGCTAGTGAAGTTCATGGAGCTTGTTTCGACCATCAATTCAGAAGTCTACTGTGAAATGTTATGAAAATTCAGATGAGCCATTCATAACAAGTGTCGGGGCATGCTGACCTCTGGTGTGGTGTTGGTTCACAATAATGCTCGCCCGCACATAGCTAGACGTACCCAAGAACTTTTGAAACAGTTCCGTTGGGATGTTTTTGATCACCCCCCTATAGCCCAGATTTGGTACCGAGCGACTACTCTTAAGGAATTGCAAACCTTGTAAGATGTTATGCCTCAATTTGAATGGCGATTATGCCTAAAAAGTAATGTAATGTTGTAGTTTTGTAATGTGTATAATAAAAGTTCTATATCTGCAAGTGTCTGTCATTGATAATCAAACGGAGATTTATTTCCAAATTACCCTCATACAACCTATAATTGTCAAGAGGCATTTAACTGATTTCTAGTTTCAGTACTTTTGCCTTTTAACAAACAAATGAGAAACTCATCTAAAAATGTTTACGAGTATACTGTAAATCATTTGTTTTGATTGATGGTGAGGACTGATTGTAAAGTTAAGGATGCCTAATATTTACAGCAATCTTTTTTTTTTAAAGTTGCAGGTGTGAGAATGATTGTGGGAGCCTAGGAAAGGAATAAAAGGGGGAGTAGACTTCCAATCAACAGATAATGGGCAAGACAGTTTATCTCATAAATGGCAACCTAGCCCAGCTGGCAGGAAATCTGGGAACAGATTTCTTAATGACCTCCTTATGAACGAGGATTGAAAATTCCTCTTACAAATTCCAAGAATCTTTATGGATATCCAGATTAGCAGTATATATGCTTTATTATAATTTGTATAGTTTTGCTATCTTGATCTTCTCTAGATCAATGGGACTTAGCCTGATGATTAATTAATGAAATACTCAAGTAACTAATTAAATAAACTTCAGTGCAGAAATACAACATAAGCAATAATAACATTCAGATAACTGGAACATTATTTGTTTTCAGTTACTTTGCTGATATGCCAAACCATTAACCATTTTTAATATTATGTATTAATTTACATCTTTAAACCATGTATTCATGGATTATTTTATTTAATTTCATGTTGTTTTGTTTATACCTTGTGTCCTTTGCACAATGGCGATAGAAAACTTTGAAACTACCTTATTGAACAATGTTTTACTACCTGGTGAAACCAGGGAAGGAAAGCAGCAGGTCTTATTCTACCTAGAAGTAAATTGAAAAATGCTACTGATAAGCTAGGGGGAACCCCTTCTGAGCCTCATCTTTGCCCACACTTGCTATGTCCTCTCTTATCTGACTCTTCCTCAAGCAGCATCTCTTCACCCTGTGCCCCAAGGTCTTTCCCTCACACCATATATAGAAATCTGAATAACAAAAAGATTTGCAAGTTCCCAAATTTGTCAGAATCTATTGCTTTGTATTGCAGGGTCAAGGCAGAATGTACACCTTTAAAAATATTATTAGATTTACCTTTATTTTTTTATCAACTCAAGACAGTGTACGTGCCTAATGCTCTTATTTTTCCCACAATAACAATCTTGTGAGATACACTGAGCTTAAAGAGTGTAACTGGTCCAAAGTCAACTTTGGTTTTGGGAGGCCTACAACTCACAGTCTCCTCATTTCTAGCCCAGCACCTTAGCCACTTCCCCAACCTGGCTCTTCAAATTTGCCTTTCAGACTCAAATGCTCTGCAGAATGTGGTGGCTGAGAATTTGAAAAGCTGCAGTCCCAAAACATATGCAGACTAGTAGATTGTGGAATGCTGTGTAACAGAAAGAGTAATATTAATAAATAAAATCTGTTGATATTTTTTTCTACTTGCCTTGAGTAAAATTGAACATTCCTGGTCCATCTATGGTACCTGCAGCAAAGCTGTATCCCAAGGCTGGTTTACATGTTTTACCCTTTGGAAAAACAACATAAAGAGTTAAGGTCTGCATTGTAAATAGTTTTGTATTGTTACCATCTGCCTAGAACAGGGGTCTTCAAATTTGGCCCTTTCATGACTTGTGGACTTCAACTCCCAGAATTCCTCAGCCAGCATGCCTGGCTGAGGAATTCTGGGAATTGAAGTCCACAAGTCATAAAAGGGCCAAGTTTTAAGACCCCTGGCCTAGTACATCACCATGGAGGTACACTACCGTGTATGTAGAGTTGAGCTGAACAGTGACATTACTCATGTCCACCCATCGATGAACCGAACTGATGGGACCATCAATCTCTTTTGAGGCCTTCATATATATTTCCTGAAATACAAATGGGAACCAATCATTACTCGAATATGATGATTTTATTACTGTATGTGAGCACATATATATTGTTCAAGTGTGGATCTGTATGTGTGAATATGTGGTAGGGAAGTTCTGGACTTCTGAAGTGCAACTCCCAGATATGTAAGTGGAAGCTACTATGATTTGCAGTTCAACAACGGGCATCATTTCTTCAACAAGTCTAGTAGGCTGGAGAAACATGAAATCCTGAGGTAGAAATAGCCGCTGCGAAGATCTTACCCTGACAGAAGGGTAAAACTCTTCATCATAGGAGAAATATTTTGTTTTTCCCCAATATAGCTCATACACCCAATGTATCTTATTAGGAAGTGAGAACTCTAACCAAATAAGATAAGGTTAGAAAAAAAGCTGTGATATGTGTCAACTTCTTCCTATCCCTAATGGGCATTTTAATTGGAGGTGATGGGAGTTGTAGTTGTAATAATGAAAGAATAGTTTGTATCCTTCCTGAATCTTACAATAAATTTGAACAAAATTTAGGTCCAAGGCCTCATAGGAAAGGGAGGCAAAGTTAATACAGATGCCTAAAGATAACGTTTCTTAGTGTCTGTCAGGTGCCATGCAGCAATGAATCATTATATTGAACATGATTTATCTATCTTATCTATCTATCCAGTGCTTTTTTTGTCATAGAATGCACCGGAACAGAGTTCCAGCACCTTTTTTCAACAGATTTTCCAAGTTTTAAAAGTAACTTTTGAAAATTTGATGTTTGGTCCACGTGGACTTGAATCGCCCTGTCAAGCATAGCAGGTCGGCAGCAAAATCATTAAAATGGTGCATGCGGGCTGCTTGTGTGTCGAGTCCGATGCACGCATACTTCGTCTGCGCTGGTTGTGATGGTGTCGCTCGGCTTGTGGCACTGCTCGGCTTATGATTGGTCATGTGCTGAGTGCTTACTGCGGGCGGCGACCATTTTGTTTCGTTACACAACTGACATGTGTGGGTGTGTGTACAGTGATTGATTATGTGCGAAAGGTAAATAATTTCTTTATTTTAAAAAATCATTGATGAATTGAAAATCTTTTTTTTAATTTTTAGTGTAAAAGTGTGACCCCCAAATTTAAAAATGAAAAAAATTACTAATTACTTCTTAACCACCGCTCCTGCTAAGAACTGAATATATATATTTTTTAATAAAAGATTAACAAGATGTGAGTTCCGGCACCTTTTTTCTTACAAAAAAAGCACTGTACCTACCTATCTATCTACCTATCTACCTATCTACCTATCTACCTATCTACCTATCTATCTATCATCTTTGTGTATTTGTATAAGTAAAGTTTTTTAACGGAAAAATATTTCATTTAAAGGGAAAGTTGGCATGTTATAAGAAAGTGACAATCTCTAGCATTTGTATTTTCCTGGAATGTTAAGATTCTAGAATCAATATTTTCCTAGAATGCTTTTTAGGAAATTATAGGCTTTTCTAGGAATATTATATTTTTCTAGAATGCTTTCCTAGACAATATAAATGCTGATGCATCTAGCATCTATATTTTCCTAGAATGTTAAGATTTTAGACTCACCTTTGCACTTGAGTAGATTTGACTCCCAATTATTTGTGTGCTCTGAAACATGTCTTTCCCAGGACCTGTAGCAATGCACATCTTAGCCTAAATTGGATTTCAGAACAACAAATTAGAAGGGAAAAGATATGTGGTTGACCAGCCTTTACCTCTGCATCCACTCACTTCCCTTCCATCTTTATCCCCTCAATTCTGAGTTCCAATTATAAACCTCTTTCAAGTTCCTTTTAACTTGCCACTAATCAAGCAGCAGATTAGAACCAGTTTGGTGTAATGGTTAAGGCACCAGGTTAGAAACCAGGCATCCATGAGTTCTAGTTCCAATTTAGGCATAAAGCCATTTGGTATAAAACCATAAAGTCTTGGTCCAGTCATTTTCTCTCAGCCCTAGTAAGGAGGCAATTGGCAAACCTCTTCTAAAAAAATTTGCCAAGAAAACTGTGGGACTTGTCCAGGCAGTGTCTGAGAATGATTGAACAGAAGCAAAATAAAATCAGTAGCAGATATTTTACATAGGTCTAATAATCCAGTTTATTTGTTTTTTAGATTAAATACTCCTTACTGAGCACTACAACATGGTATGTGCCAAAGTATTACATGCAGTAACAATTGATCAACTCCTGTATTCAATGAGTTCTTGGGAAATATGGTAGTGTAGTTATGCAGCAAATAAATAAAGTAGTCCAGTCCAGTCCAGTCTTTCATCTGATAGAAATGATAATTAGTGGAATTAGTAGAATTTTCCTGAAGGAAAATTTCTATTAACTCTGGACTGATTTTAAAAAAATAAATAAAAAATTAAATGGGCAGCCTATTGATATGGTGGGTTTTATTTCCAAGAAGGATATGAAGAAGAGACCTATTTTCAGGAATGCTCCATTGGGTCCTGTAGAGTAGTTTCTCTACTGAACATCAGAAGAAATGGGTTGAACACCAAGATCCCTATCAGCCATATCATTCTGTTGTTAGAACTAGGATAGGTATCAAACACAAATGGGGACCTAGAATTTTCCTGCAATGATTTAATTCTCAAATAGCCTCTTCAAAACAATGGGCCACTCCTGAGAATGAGAAAGGCCAAGCAAGGTTGACTAGCTCATCATCACAATCATTTTATTTCATGAAGAGAAGGATTAGGGGTGACATGATAGCAGTGTTCCAATATCTCAGGGGTTGTTACCAAGAAGAGAGAGTCAAACTATTCTCCAAAGTTCCTGAAGGCAGGACAAGAAGCAATGGATGGAAACTAATCAAAGAAAGATCAAAACCTAGAACTAAGGAGAAATTTCCTGACAGTTAGAACAATTAATAAGTGGAACAACTTGCCTCCAGAAGTTGTGAATGCTCCAACACTGGAAATTTTTAAGAAGAGACTGGACAGCCATTTGTCTGAAATGGTATAGGGCTTCCTGCCTGAGCAGGGGGGTGGACTAGATAGAACACCTCAAAGGTCCCTTCCAACTCTATTATTGTTATTGTTATTTTGTCAGAAGTGATTAGTGATGAATTTGTGAAGGCATGTGGAATATTGTGTCATTTAGCAGTAGTAGTTCTATACAGGTAGTCCTTGACTTTGTTGTTGTTGTTGTTGTTGTTAATTGCGAAGTCGTGTCTGACCCATAGCGACCCCATGGACAACGTTCCTCCAGGTCTTCCTATCCTCTACCATCTTCTGGAGTCCATTTAAATTCACGCCTACTGCTTCAGTGACTCCATCCAGCCACCTCATTCTCTGTCATCCCCTTCTTCTATTGCCCTCAATCTTTCCCAGCATTAGGCCCTTCTCCAGTGAGTCCTTCCTTCTCATTAGGTGGCCAAAGTATTTGAGTTTCAACTTCAGGATCTGGCCCTCTAAAGAGCATTCGGGGTTGATCTCTTCCAGGACTGACCGGTTTGAACGCCTTGCAGTCCAAGGGACTCGCAGGAGTCTTCTCCAGCACCATAGTTCAAAGGCCTCAATTCTTTGGCGCTCAGCCTTTCTTATGGTCCAACTTTCACATCCATACATTGCAACTGGGAAAACCTTGGCCTTGACTATACGCACTTTTGTTGGCAGGGTGATGTCTCTGCTTTTTAGTATGCTGTCTAGATTTGCCATAGCTTTCCTCCCCAGGAGCAAGCATCTTTTAATTTCTTGGCTGCAGTCCCCATCTGAGGTGATCTTGGAGCCCAGAAAAATAAAATCTGTCACTACCTCCATTTCTTCCCCATCTATTTGCCAGGAATTGAGAGGGCAGGATGCCATGATTTTGGTTTTCTTAATGTTGAGTTTCAAGCCAACTTTTGCATTCTCCTTCTTCATCCACATCAAGAGGCTCTTTAGTTCCTCTTCACTTTCTGCCATTAGAGTGGTATCATCTGCATATCTTAGGGTGTTGATATTTCTCCCGGCAATCTTAATTCCAACTTTTGATTCATCTAGCCCTGCCTTTCTCATGATGTGCTCTGCATATGTTAAATAGGCAGGGTGACAGTATACAGCCTTGCCGGACTCCTTTCCCAATTTTGAACCAATCAGTGGTTCCGTGTCCAGTTCTCACTGTTGCTTCTTGACCCGCATATAGGTTTCTCAAGAGACAAATAAGATAGTCTGGTACTCCCATCTCTTTAAGAACTTGCCACAATTTGTTGTGATCCACACAATCAAAGGCTTTAGCATAGTCAATGAAGCAGAAGTAGGTGTTTTTCTGGAACTCCCTAGCTTTCTCCATGATCCAGCGTATGTTGGCAATTTGATCTCTAGTTCCTCTGTCTCTTCAAAATCCTGCCTGTACTTCTGGTAGTTCTCGATCCACATACTGCTGGAGTCTAGCTTGTAGGATTTTAAGCATAACTTTACTAGCATGTGAAATGAGTGCAATGGTGCAATAGTTTGAACATTCTTTGGCATTGCTTTTCTTTGGAATTGGAATGTAAACAGACCTTTTCCAATACTGTGGCCACTGCTGAGTTTTCCAAATTTGCTGGCAAATTGAGTGTAGCACTTTTACTGCATCGTCTTTTAAAATTTTGAATAGCTCAGCTGGAATACTGTCACCTCCACTAGCTTTGTTGTTGCTCAGATTTCCTAAGGCCCATTTCACTTCACATTCTAGGATGTCTGGCTCGAGGTCAGTGACCACCCCATCGTGGTTATCTGGGAGGTTAAGCTCGTTCTTGTATAGTTCTTCTGTGTAGTTTTGCCACCTCTTCTTAATCTCTTCTGCCTCTGTTAGGTCCCTGCCATTTTGGTCCTTTATCATGCCCATCTTTGCATGAAACGTTCCCTTCATATCTCCAATTTTCTTGAAGAGATCTCTGGTCCTCCCTATTCTGTTGTTTTCTTATATTTCTTTGCACTGTTCATTTAAGAAGGTATTCTTATCTCTTCTAGTTATTCTCTGGAATTCTGCATTCAATTGGGTGTATCTTTCTCTTTCTCCTTTGCCCTTCGTTCCTCAGCTATTTGCAAAGCTTCCTCAGACAGCCATTTTGCTTTCTTGCATTTCTTTTTCTTTGGGATGGTTTTAGTTGCTACCTCTTGTACAATGTTGCGAACCTCAGTCCATAGTTCTTCAGGCACTCTCTATCAGATCTAATTCCTTAAATCTATTTGTCACCTCTACTGTATATTCATCAGGAATATGATTTAGTTCATACCTGAGTGGCCTAGTACTTTTCCCTACTTTCTTCAATTTAAGCCTAAATTTTGCAACGAGAAGCTCATGATCTGAGCCACAGTCAGCTCCTGGTCTTGTTTTTACTGACTGTATAGAGCTTCTCCATCTTTGGCTGCAGAGCACATAGTCAATCTGATTTCTATGTTGACCGTCTGGTGATGTCCATGTGTAGAGCCATCTCTTGGGTTGTTGGAAAAGAGTGTTTGTTATGACCATCGTATTCTCTTGACAAAATTCTATCAGCCTGTGCCCTGCTTCATTTTGTACTCCAAGGCCAAACTTGCCTGTTATTCCGGTTATCTTTTGGCTTCCTACTTTAGCATTCCAATCCCCCATGATAAGGACATCATTTTTTGGTGTTAATTCTATAAGGTGCTGTAGGACTTCATAGAACCGGTCAATTTCATCCTCTTCAGCACCAGTGGTTTGGACTGCTGTGATATTGAATGGTTTGCCTTGGATTCGAACTGAGATCATTCTGTCATTTTGGGGATTGTATCCCAGTATTGCTTTTCCTATTCTTTTATTGACTATGAAGATTACTCCATTTCTTCTGAGGGATTCTTGCCTGCAGTAGTATACCTGATGGTCATCTGAATTAAATTCACCCATTTCTGTCCATTTTAGTTCGCTGATTCCTAAGATGTCCATGTTCAGTCTTGTCATCTCTTGTTTGACTACGTCTAGCTTGCCTTGATTCATGGATCTTACATTCCAGGTTCCTATGGAGAAAAAATCTTTACAGCATCGGACTTTCCTTTCACCACCAGATATATCCACAGCTGAGCATCCTTTCGGCTTTGGCCCAGTCGCTTCATTCTTTCTGGCGCTACTAGTACTAGCCCTCTGCTCTTCCACAGTAGCATATTGGACACCTTCCGACCTGAGGGGCTCATCTTCCAGTGTCATATCTTTTTGCATTTTAGTACCGTCCATGGGGTTTTCATGGCAAAGATACTGGAGTGGTTTGCCATTTCCTTCTCCAGTGGATCTTAGGACCACAATTGAGCCCAAAATTTCTGTTGCTAAGTGAAACATTTGTTAAGTGACTTTTGCCCCGTTTTATAGCCTTTTGTCACACAGTTGTTAAGTGAATCACTGTAGTTATCAAATTAATAATATGGTTGTTAAATGAATCTGGCATCCCCATTGACGTTGCTTGTCATAAAAGGCGATCACATGACCCCAGGACACTGCAACACCTACATTACACCTACATTAACTCAGAAGATTTTAAAGATTAAAGTACAATTGATAAATTGACAGAAAAACTAGAAAAACGTTTTGGAACTTTATATGACAACTGCAGTGAAATTATGTGCTTAAGAATGGAAAGGTCTGACATTGCCCATAATGGAGGAATGGTCGGTGAAGATATAAAATTTGCAGAAGTGAACAAATTGCCTTGTTTGATTGCAGAAAGACAATATTTATATTTATGGCTAACTGGAACCCTTTATAGACTTCTTGCATCAACTAGAAAAAAACTGCACTTCTGATTTGTGGTTTTGATAATTAGGAAAAAAAATAGAAAAAAGTGAGCTTTTTTTATAACCAGAGAGTAAGAGATAACTTTATAATTATACTTGTATTTTCTACAAAGGAAATCGGAAGTTTCTTCTTTTTTTCTGCACTTCTGTTTTTTTTCTTTCTCTCGCAGGGATGAGGCCAAGCCAGGCGAGGCCAGCCAGACTGGGTGTGGCCTGACTGCGGTGCTGCCGTCGTGGGGTGAGGTGAGATGAGGCAGGTGGTGGGGCAGGGGTGGCCTGGCCGTCACTGCCAGCCAATGAGATACAGTTGCTGCCGGGCATCACCAGTCCTGCATGCTCACTGCCTTCTGTTCGTGCACCTGGGAGCTCCCGGCCTGGCTGGGGTGGCCCAGGACCAAGGCAATGGGAGCCAGCCCCTTGCCATCTCCAGGACGGCCTCATGGGCCAGATCTAAACCCATCACTGGCTGGATCTGGCCTGTGGGCCTTGAGTTTGACATATCTGATCCTGAGCATTTCAAAGAGTAATTTATTAGGTAAATTATCCTGAAACCAAAACAATCAGTTGCTCTCTTCAAAATACAGTCTTGATAGAGTTGATAGTCTTGTTTTTTTTTCATCCTAAGTATTTCTGGCCTCTGGTCAGTGGTGGGATTCAAATATGTGAACAGCCGGTTCTCTGTGTGGATGCCACTTCCGGAAGTCCATTCTGGGCCTGGGCAACAAAAAATTACTAGCTACTGGTTCTGCCGAAGTAGTGCGAACTGGCTGAATCCCACCACTGCCTCTGGTATATAAGATGCCAGAGATATATAAAACCCTGCATAATTTCAACTACAAAACCCACAAACTTTTGATCCAGATCTAATACTTACCCCACCTATAACGCAGTAATTCCCCATGTTTTCACATGGCTCTCCAGTGTTGATGCAGTGTGGACCTTTTGTATTTGGAGACACATCACCCAAATTAGAAGATGCAAAAGCTGCTACAAAGGGACCCTGAAAGAGGAAGAAAGCCATATCAGTGATTCCCATTGATCCCACAACAGTTATAGCTCAGAAATAATAGGCATTTGACGATTGGCAAGTGTGGCATTATGAAAGAAGCCCTACTCTTTATAAGTGCATACAGGGTTGATGTATGTAGAAAAGGTGTTGGGATTGGCTTGCAACACACACCTAACTTCATGCAAATGTTTTTTACAAACACATGCTAACCTGCAGACATTACCGCAAAAAATCATCCTCAAGTCTAATGTAAGAAATTTGAATCTGTGTATTCTTCTTGATAGCATATATGATTTATAATACAGGTAGTTCTCAACTTACAACCATTTGTTTAGTGACTGTTCAAAGTTACAACAGCACCAAAAAAATGACTTATATCCATTCTTTACACTTACAACCGTTGCAGCGTCCCCATGACCACATGATCAAAATTGGGATGCTTGGCAACTGCTTCGTATTTATGACGGTTGTCCTGGGGTCATGTGTTCAGCTTTTGCGACCTTCTGTACAAGCAAAGTCAATGGGCAAGCCAGATTCACTTAACAATCGTGTTGCTAACTTAACAACTGCAGTGATTCACTTAACAATTGTGGTAAGAAAGGTTGTAAAATGGGGAAAAACTCACTCTTCTCAGCAACAGAAATTTTGGACTCAACTGTGGTTGTAATTCGAGGACTACCTGTAGTCCATTCCCTAGACCAGGGCTTTTCAACCGGTGGTATGTGTACCACTGGTGGTACGCGACCACCTGGCTGGTGGTACGCGGCATCGCCTTCCTCCCCCTCCCCTGCGTCGCTTTCCTCCCCCCCTCTGCTCCTTCCCAGCTCACTTGTTTGTGGAAAACGCTGCTTGGCGGCAGCCTGAACAAACCCTACCGAACGTGCCCTGCAGGGGGCGCACGAAGAGCGCAGTTGCAGAACAAGGCTCCACCGTCCCCAGGGACTCATTGTGCAGCAACCGGATTGACTTCTTCTGGTACACGCAGGTCAGTGGGATCCGTGTGGCCCTTCCCCTCCCTCTTCTTACTTCACAACAAGCGTTAGCCTGATAGCCCCTTCCGGGCTGGGAGAAGCGCACGCCGTTGCCTGTATCGAAGGCTTAAAGTCTGAAACAGCCGGGCTCTTGGCTGACTGATCGCCTTTCTCCCCCCCCCCCCCAACTTTTCTACAAACCAGGAATCATGGCTTAGTGGGGGCCTGGAGTGGGTCTCGAGGTGCCCGTGCGCCCCTTAGATCAGACAAGCGAGTGATCGACTTTAGCCTTTGGGGAACAAAAGCCGGTTGGGGCTGATCTCTTCCTGCCCGGGAAGGCTGGAGAAGCCAGGAGAAAGTCAATTATTAGAGGGGGGTGGAGTCACTTCTTCATTTAAGGCAGTTTTGGAAAAGTAACTTTTGCTGGAAAGGAAAGCAGTTTTTTTCCCCTTTTCTTGGATCGCCTTCTTTGCTTGGCCCTCTGTTGCCTGTATCGAAGGCTTAAAGTCTGAAACAGCCAGGCTCTTGGCTGACTGATCGCCTTTCTCTTTTCGGGAGATGCGCCTTTGCAGCGGGTTTCCCCTTCCGTTAACTATTGGAGGTTTGAAAGGCAAGCTACTCCCGGAGCATAAAAGTAGGGGGCCCAAACGGCGAGAGTGATGCAGCTCTCCGACTCTCTGCTTCAGGGGAAAAATGACTGGGAGAAGTAGCTGGTTCTAACGTATGTGCCTGAAAACGGGAGGTGAACCGGCCACATCCCCGTCCTGCCTGTGTGCTCTCCTCTGCCTGTGCACGCACAGGCGGGGCCGTGATGTGTTGCTCCCTGCCAAAACCAGGCTGGGGTCTGGGCGGCGTAGCACAGGATGAAGGAATGAGGAAGGAAGGAAGGGACAATGGGAGCTGCAGCACTGCAGCCTTCCAGTCCCGTGAGCTCCTTTGGCTGTGCTCCAGGTCTCACATTTATCAGCTGTTTGGCAGCCGAGAGACAGAGCCTTTCAGCTTCAGGCCACTCCATCGGCCCTAGGCTCCCTGGTTTGGCCTCCCGCCCATCAGCTGTTTGGCTTGGTCGGGAGGCATCCACGCTGCCAGGTAGAAGGCGCTGGCCGCTGGTCTCCTTTGCCGCTCCGCACATCGTCCTCGACCCTCCCCCTGCCAGTTCATGTTGAGCCGGCAGGGGTTTGACAGGGAGAGAGGGAAGGGAAGGAGAAAGGGACAAAGAGGGTCATGAAGGAAAGAAAGGAAACAAGGAAGGAAGGGACAATGGGAAAAAGGGAGGGAAGTAGGAAGGGACAAAGGGAGGTAAAGGCAAGGAAGGAAAGAAGGAAGGAAGGAAGGGACAATGGGAAAAAGGGAGGGAAGGAGGAAGGGACAAAGGGAGGTGAAGGAAAGGAAGGAAAGAAGGAAGGATCAGTGGGAAAGAGGGAGGGAAGGAGGAAGGGACAAAGGGAGGTGAAGGCAAGGAAGGAAAGAAGGAAGGAAGGGACAATGGGAAAAAGGGAGGGAAGGGACAAAGGAAGGTGAAGGAAAGGAAGGAAAGAAAGAAGGAAGGCACAATGGGAAAGAGGAAGGGAAGGAGGAAGGGACAAAGGGAGGTGAAGGCAAGGAAGGAAAGAAAGAAGGAAGGCACAATGGGAGAGAGGGAGGGAAGGCAGGCAGGCACCTGCCACAGTCGCATCCCCCTCCACCAGAGACCCACGGATTGCCCCCCACAGGCACCCTGCAACCTGAGTGATCAGCTGGCCATGCCCCCCCGGCCATTGATCACATGACCCTGGGACACTGAACGTCATAAGTATGAATCAGTTGCCAAGCATCCGAATGTAAATCACAAGACCCTGGGGATGCTGCAACAGTCATAAGTGTGAAAAATGGTCATAATTCGCTTGTAACTTCAAACAGTCACTAAGCGAATTGTTGTAAGTCAAGGACTATCTGTACTTTCTCAAGTTTTTCCTTTTTTGGGGGGGTCAAGTTTTTGATACCTTGTTTGCGAGTGGTGGTACTCGGATATTGCCTTATCTGAAAAGTGGTACAATGGGTAAAAAGGTTGAAAAGCCCTGCCCTAGACCAGAGGTAGGCAACCTTGGCTCTTTTATGACTCCTGGACTTCAACTCCCAGAATTCCTGAGCCAGCTGAGAAGGCCAAGTTTATATAAATCAGAAATGCTCAGGATAATATGCCTATAACAGTCCATGCCCAAGCTATTGAACAAGTCCAACAATTTATTTATCTAGGCCAGGGGTAGGCAACCTTGGCTCTTTTATGACTCGTGGACTTCAACTTCAACATGGCTGGTTCAGGAATTCTGGGATTTGAAGTCCACGAGTCATAAAAGACCCAAGGTTGCCTATCCCTGCTCTAGACTAAAACAGCATAACAATATTTAAGCAAGTTTCACCAAACAGATTCTTATCAACATGACCTTTAATGAGACCTGACATTTACAGCAATATTTTAAGTGTCTCCCACATTCAAGTAATATTCTGCGCTTTTAGATTTTGTGAGTAGTCACACGGAAATGAAAGTTTGCTTTCTTGTATTTATTTAATTTCATTGCCATTGCCATGCTTTGTTATTATGGTTCATCGCACAGTCAACCAGATGTTCAGATTGGATTTGGCATTTTTATCCACCTATTTAGTCTTTCCCTAAGACCTGAGATATAATTATTATTTGTATATAAAGTCTGGGTGGTTTACAAAATCCAGGAACAATAAAAACAGTTAAAAACAATACAAGCCAGGAAACCCAGAGCAAAGCAATCAAACAATAACAAATCATACCACACCAGGTGACCAATAGCAATGGCACTTAGACTTACATACTGCTTCACAGTGCTTTACAGCCCTCTCTAAGCAGTTTACAGAGTCAACATATTGTCCCCAACAATCTGGGTTCTCATTTTACTGACTTCTAACCACTGCACCACTATGGCTCAATAAGCATATCACTCACAAGCCTGGGAACAGAACCAAGTGTTCTAGGACTTCCGGTGGCAGGCGACCTCGTCGGACGCAGCTGTTTGCTGCCTCCCGCCTGTTTCAGCGTAAAAGCCGTTTTGACAGCTAGCATCAGCTGTCAAACGGCTTGATACCCTTCCCCTGGGCATAAGGGGATAGGTGAGCTGCCCGGGGTAGGAGTTGAGTTCCCGAGTCGTCCCATGTGGACGATGTAGGTGAGANAGAAGAAGAAGAAGAAGAAGAAGAAGAAGAAGAAGAAGAAGAAGAAGAAGAAGAAGAAGAAGAAGAAGAAGAAGAAGAAGAAGAAGAAGAAGAAGAAGAAGAAGAAGAAGAAGAAGAAGAAGAAGAAGAAGAAGAAGAAGAAGAAGAAGAAGAAGAAGACAGGAGAATTAGTGCATGTAAACTCAGACAGCACGTTGGTTGAAAAAATATTACTGTATGTATGGAAAAATAATAATAAAAACTTCTGCAAAAAAAAGACGTTAATGTATGAGTTGTTTTTTTCTAAACTAAAACCTCTGTATTCAGGTTAAATTGCCGTGTTGGCACTTTGCGATAAATAAGTGGGTTTCGGGTTGCAGTTTGGGCACTCGGTCTCTAAAAGGTTCGCCATGACTGAACTATAGGATTGAAGCCCCATCCCCTTTTACATGCAACAGGCAAAACTTGTAACAAAAAAAGAAAAAGAAAAAAAAGGAGGAATACTTTGCTTACATTGTCATTGCTACCATCTTGATTTTTTTTTTAAATTTCCTTGTTCATGAAGGCACAAAGATCAGTTAAAAAAATAAATAAAAGATTGCCTTGATTACTGTTAGAGACAGCCAGGCAAGGAAAAAAAACAACCTTTAAATTTAATTTATTCCAGAGAAACCTCAAAATTGAGCAAGCATGCAGACCTGCAGTATCTTTTCCCCGGATCGCTGGTTCAAACAAAAGAGGGACGATTCCCAATAAACCATGCAACTTTCATTACATTTGTTACTTTCGGAAGGATTTCCACCATGGCTTTGATTTTTCTAGGAAGAAGAATATTGTCTGCTTTCTGCCATGTTGTTT